CTTTGTCTTCAGCGGTTGTGTCGGGAAGGTGAGCATCATAGAATGCCAATTTAATAGAAGAAAGTATTCTTGCATTGAGGGAGTACTTGTCCACTCAATCTTTTATATCTGGCCTGAACCTCTGGAAGCTCCCTGTCAATGTACTGCTGCAACCATATTGGATATATTCAGCAAAATTTTACTTGCATGTGATATTATTCTATAGTTTGAGCATTCTAATGGGTCCTCTTTCTTTGGAATTGGTACAAACCTAGATCTCTTCTAGTCAGTTGGGAAAGTATCTGTCTTCCAAATTTCTTGGCATAAATGAGTAAGTGCTTCCAGTCCTTCATCAGCCTGATGAAATATTTCATTTGGTATTTCATCAATTCCTGGAGCTTTGTTTTTTTGGCTAATATTTTAAGTGCAGCTTAAAGTCCATTTCTACTTAGAATGATATGGCTCTAGTGTTTCTTTTCATTTTTCTTAACAGATACATTGTTATGACCATTGTTTTTAATGGAAGATGAGTGAAAGTGAAAACCTAACTAAAGAAGAAATACTTAAAGAACTGGTGAGCCAAAGTTAAGTTTCTTTCAACTACATTTCTGATGATATTAAATGGAACATTTTTGTGCTTCTTGAGATCAGCTCAATCTTCTGACTTTTGAGAGCACAGTCATGTATGTAGTATAATTTTCTAGTCAGCATAAAAATAACATGACTGTAATTGACCATTTATAATTTTACCAGCAAAATCAATTTTAGATGATCTAAAATAGAAACTAACTCAATTTCTTCTTCTTAAAAAACAGTGTTTATGCAATGGTTTATCTTACGAGATGCTCGAACAAGAAGGATCAGAAACTACAAAACTGGAAATGTTTTTCTCAGGATATCCTCGTATCGTTGGATTATCATTATTTTGTAATCTAACAAGTCTCACAATTATAGCTCAAGATATAAAAGAAATGTCAGGATTAGAGACTTGCGTACTGCTTAAAGAACTTTGGATTGCTGAATGCTTCATAGAGGTAAGACCTTATATGAAAATTTGCATCCTGAATTATTTGGCATGGTTCAAATCAGAGGAAGGGGCAGAAGCTAGAAATGAATTTATGTAAGGAAAAAAATAGAAATGAAGGACCCAAACATAAACATCTTATTTTGTATCAAAAAACCCCACCCAGTATTGCTTGGTAGGAGTCCCTGGGTGGTATACACAGGTAAGTACTGGACTGCAATTCCAATCTAATCCAGAAGCACCTTCTGATCACACCTTTTTGTGGGAGGGGTCCTAAATAAGCTTTTATTTTTCTTTTCCTGTATTTCAGCTCTGCACTGGCCTCTTTCCCGAGCTGAGGCCTCTGCATTGATCTTATGTTTGTAGTAGTGGCGGCTTCCTTATGTCCAGCCTTAGGTGCAAAATTTTAGCCATAATTTGTATTCCTTCTGATATACTCATGGGAGGGCTCTTAAATAAACTTTTGTTGTTACTTTCCTTTTTTGTCAGCATCTTTTGCATATAGTTTAAGAAATAAAATATTTGACGCTGTTTCCAGCTAATATTTTCAGAGGAAATTGTTGTTGTTGTTGTTGTTGTTGTTGTTGTTGTTGTTGTTGTTGTTAGGTGTCATTGAGTCGGCTCTGACCCATAGTGACCCCGTGCACAGCAGAATGAAACAGTCCTGCCCCAGCCTCACAATTGTTCCTACTCCGGAGCCCATGGTGGCAGCCACTGTGTCAATTCTTCTCGTCTAGGGCCTTCCTCTTTTTTTTTGGCTGCCCCTCTGCTTTACCAAACCTGATGCCCTTCCCCAGGGACTGTGCTCTCCTGACAATATGTCCAAAGTATCTAAGACAAAGTCTTTCCATCCTTGCCTCTAAGGAGCACTCTGGCTGTACGTCTTCCAAGACAGATCGATTTGTCCTTTGAGCAGTTCATGGTACTTTCAATACTTGTCTCCAGCACCACAGTTCAAATACATCTATTCTTCTAGTCTTCCTAATTAGGTGTCCAACTTTCACCTGCATATTATGCAATGGAGAATACCATGGCTTGGGTCAGGCGCAGCTTAGTCCTCAAAGTAACATCCTTGTTTTTCAATATTCCAAAGAGGTCTTGTGCAGCAGATTTACCTAATGCAACACATCTTTTGATCTCTTGACCTGCTGCTTCCATGAGCATTAATGGCAGGTCAAAGACAAAATCCTTGACAACTTCAACCTTTTCTCTAGTTATCATGATGTTACCTACTTGTCTAGTTGTGAGGATTTGGGTCTTCCTTACATTGAGTTGTAATCCATAGTGAAGGCCACAATTTTTGATCTTCATCAGCAAGTGCTTCAAATTCTCTTCACTTTAAGCAAGCAAAGTTGTGTCATTTGTTGTTGATAAGTGTTCCTCCAACCCCGATGCCACATTTTTCTTCATATAAATCCATCTTCTCTGATTATTTGCTAAGTGTATAGATTGAATAAGTATGGTGAGAGGAAACAAACCTGATGCAAACTTTTCCTGCAGTATTCCCTTGGTTTTTTTCCCCACAAATACTTCTTGATCCGTGTATAAGTTCCTCATGAGCACAATGAAGTGTTCTGGAATTCCCACCTTCTCAAGGTTACACGTAGCTTATTATGATAAACACAGTCTAATGCCTTTGTATAGTTAATACAACACAAGTAAACATCTTTCTGGTATTCTCTGCTTTGAGTCAAGATCCATTGACATGAGCAAGGAGATCCCTTGTTCCACATCCTCTTCTGAAGCAGGCCTGAACCTCTGACAACTCCCTGTCAATGTGCTGCTACCACTGTTGTTGAGTGATCTTCAGCAACATTTTACTTGGATGTAATATCACTGATATTGTTCTATTGTTTGAACATTCTGTTGGGTCATCTTTCTTTGGAATGGGGGTAAATATGGATCTCTTACAGTCAATTGGCCAAGTTGCTGTCTTCCAGATTTGCTGGCATAGGTGAGTGAGTGCTTCCAGTGTTTCATCAGCTTATTGAAACATTTCAATTGATATTCTGTCCATTCCTGGAGCCTCGGGTTTGGCTCATACTTTCATTGTAGCTTGGCCTTCCTTTGGCACCATTGTTCTTTGCTCGATGCTATCTCCTGAGGTGCTAGTATGTTGACTATTTCTTTTTGGTACAGTGACTGTATTCTTTCCATCTTTTTAAAAAAATCATTTTATTGGGGGCTCGTACAACTCTTATCACAATCCATCCATCCACTCATTGTGTCAAGCACATTTGTACATTTGTTGCCATCATCATTCTCAAAACATTTATTTTCTACTTGAGCTCCTCATTTTCCTCTCCCTGCCACCCCCTCCTTCACGAACCCTTGATAATTTATAGATTATTATTATTTTGTCATATCTTACACTGTTCAATGTCTCCCTTCACTCACTTTTCTGCGGTCCATCCCCCAGGGAGGAGGTTATATGTAGATCCTTGTAATCGGTTCCTCCTTTCTACCCCTCCTTCCCTCCACCCTCCCAGTATCACCACTTTCACCACTGGTTCTGAAGTGATCATCTGTCCTGGATTCCCTGTGTTTCCAGTTGCTATCTGTACCAGTGTACATCCTCTGTTCTAGATGGATTTGTTGGGTAGAATTGGGATCCCTCTTCTTTTGATGCTTCCTGCATCATTCAATATTTTTCCCATAGATTCTTTCAAGATTGCAACTCAAGGGTTGAATTTTTATTTGAGTTCTTTCAGTTTAAGATATACCAAGTGTGTTCTTCATTTTTGTTTTTCTATTTCTAGGCTTTGCACATTTCATTTTAATATTTGGCTTTGTCTTCTCAAGCTACCCTTTGAAAATTTGTATTTAACTCTCTGACTTCATCATTTCTTCCGTTTACTTTTGCCATTCAGTGATTAAAAGCACGTTTCAGAGTCTCTTCTGGCATCCACTTTGATATTTTCTTTCTTTCCTGTGTTCTTAATGACCTTTTGCTTTATTCGTGAATAATATTCTGGATGTCCTCACACGGCTCATTAGATCTTCTATCATTAATGTTCAATGCAGAAAATATGCTCTTGAGTTGTTCAGGTGAGATAGACTCAGGTCTCAGAACTCAGGTTCTCATGGACTTGTTTTAATTTTCTTCTCCTTTATCCTGAATATATGAACAATTGACGGTCTGTTCCACAGATAGCCCCTGGCCACGTGTTAGCTGCCAACATTGAAATTCTCCAGTGTCTCTTCCCACAGATGTAGTCAATTTGATTTCTATGTGTATTCCATCTGGAGAAGTCCAGGTGTATAGTAGCCTTTTGTGTTGTTGATAAAAGGTATTTGCTATGAACAAGTCATTGATTTTGTAAAATTCTATCATGTGATCTCCATCTTCATTTCTATAACCAAATCCATATTTCCCAACTACTATTCCTTCCTCTTTGTTTACAACTTTTGCATTTCTTTTTTTTAAATCATTTTATTAGAGGCTCATACAACTCTTATCACAATCCATACACACATCAATTGTGTGAAGCACATTTGTACATTCTTGCCCTCATCATTCTCAAAACATTTGCTCTCCACTTAAGCCCCTGGCATCAGGTCCTCATTTTCCCCCTCCCTCCCTGCTCCCCCATCCCTCATGAACCCTTGATAGTTTACAAATTATTATTTTGTCATGTCTTGCCCTGTCCAACATCTACCTTCACCCAATTTTCTGTTGTCCCTCCCCCAGGGAGGAGGTCACATGTAGATCCTTGTAATTAGTTCCCCCTTTCCAACCCATCATCTCTCTACCCTCCCAGTATCGCCACTCACACCACTGGTCCTGAAGGGATCATCCATCCTGGATTCCCTGTGTTTCCAGTTCCTATCTGTACCAGTGTACAGCCTCTGGTCTAGCCAGACTTGCAAGGTAGAATTGGGATCATGATAGTTGGTGGGGGGGGGAGCATTTATGAACCAGAGAAAATTTGTGTTTTTCATCGTTGCTACATCGCACCCAGACTAGCTCATCTCCTCCCTGAAACCTTTCTGTAAGGGGATGTCCAGTGGCCTACAAGTGGGCTTTGGGTCTCCACTCCACACTACCCCCATCATTCACTATGGTAAGATTTTTTGTTCTGATGATGCCTGATACCTGATCCCTTTGACACCATCTGATCACATAGGTGATGTGCTTCTTCCATGTGGGCTTTGTTGCTTCTGAGCTAGATGGCTGCTTGTTTATCTTCAAGCCTTTAAGACCCAAGACTCTATATCTTTTGATAGCCGGGCACCACTGGCTTTCTTTGTCACATTTGCTTATGCACCCATTTGTCTTCAGCGATCGTATCATGGAGGTGAGCACACAATGATGTGATTTTTTGTTCTTTGATGCCTGATAACTGATCCCTTCAGCACCTCGTGATCACACAGGCTGGTGTGTTTCTTCCATGTGGGCTTTGTTGCTTCTGAGCTAGATGGCCGCTTGTTTACCTTCAAGCCTTTAAGACCCCAGATGCTATATCTTTTGATAGCTGCCAACTTTTGCATTTCAATCACTAATAATTATCAATGCATCTTCATTTCATGTTTAGTCAATTTCCAAATAAAATCATTGGTAGAATTCTTCAATTCTTCACTAGCTTTTGTGGTTGGTGCATAAATTTGAATAATAATTGTATTGATTGTATTTCCTTGAAAGCAGATAGATATGTTCCAATCACAGATAACACTGTACTTCATGATTGATTTTGCAATGTCTTTTTTTGACAATGAATGCCACCCCATTCCTCTAGACTGTGATAGTAAATCATATGATAATAAATCATATGATTTTCTGATTCAAAATGGCTAATACCAGTCCATTTCAGGTCACTAATACCTAGGATATCAATCTTTATGTGTTCCATTTCATTTTGACCACTTCCAATTTTCCCAAATTCACCCTTCGCACATTCCAAGTTCAGATCATTAGCAGATCTTTGTAACTGTTTCTTCTTACCTTTGTAACTGTTTCTACTTACCCCATCAGCAAATGAAGATCCAGAAGACTCCACTCTCACAAGCTTTACCCAACTTACATCACCATGGTGACTCTACTCCAAGAAATCAGCTCCTCCTCAGTCACATTTTGAGTACCTTCCAACCTGAGGTGCCTATCCTCCCGAGATGCCTATCCTCCAGCACTGTATCTGACAATATTCTGCTTCCATTCATTTGGCCTGTAGTATCAGACAATGTTTTGAAGCTTCACATAAGGTGTTCTTTGGTCTTCCTTACCCTTTGTCCAGTTGTCTCATCATATGAGATGACTGGAAATGCCATGGCTTGGGTCAAACACACTTTAGCCCTGAAAGTGATATTTTTCCTTTGTAATACTAGAAAGGGATCTTTTGCTCAGGGAAGGCTTTCTGGTGTTGCAGTTGGTTAAATGTTGGGCTACTACCTACAAAGTCAGTGGTTCAAGTACACCTGCTGCTCTGAGAGAAAAAGAAGAGACTGTCTGTTCCTATAAAGACATATAATTACAAAATACCTATAAAGCAGTTCTCCTGTCCTTTAGTGTCAAAATCAACTAGCTGACAGTGGATTTGGTGTGTTTTTTTCCTTAATGCAATATATCACTTTTTCCCCCTTGATTGCTGCTGCCACTGGTGTTGACTGTGGATTCCAAGTAGCATTAAATCCTTGACAACTTCAATCTTCTTTCTGTCTGTCATGATGTTTGTTTATGGGTTCATTGTAAAGATGTCAGTATTTATGTTGAGGTGTAATCCATCCCGAAGGTTTTGATCTTCATCAGTAAATGCTTCAAGTCCTCTTCACTTTCAACAAGCAAAGTTATATCATCTGCCTGTCATAGGTTGGTACAGCATCTTCCTCCAATTTTTACGCTTTATTCTTTATATAATCCAGCTTCTGAAATTATTTGCTCATCATACACATTGAAAAATATGGTAAAAATATATAACCCTAATGCATACTTTTTAAGATTTTAAACCATGCAGCATGCTCTTGTTCTGTTCACTGACTATCTCTTGGTCCTTGTACATGTTCGGTATGAGCACAATGAAGTAGAATTTCTGTTCTTCCCAGTGTTAGTCATAGTTTGTTATGATCCATGCAGTCAAATGTATTTGCATAGTCAGTAAAACACAAACATCTTTTCGGTTTTCTTTGCTTTCAGCCAAGATACATCTGAGGTCAATCATGATATGCCTTATATATATCTTCTTCCTGAGTTTCTGGTAGTACTCTGTACTGCTGCAAATGGTTTTGAACTTTCTTCAGCAAAATTTTACTTGTATATTATATTAATGATATTGTTTAATAATTTAATAATGATTTTGTTTAATAATCTCTACATTCTTTGGAACATGCACAGATATGGTTGACTCTCAGTCAGTTAACCAGGTAGCTGTGATTCAGATGTCTTGGCAAATACACGTGAGTGCTTCCAACATTGCACCTATTTGTTGAATTTCTCATCTGGTATTCTGTCAAGTCCCAGAATCTTGTTTTATACCATTACCTTCAGTGATGCTTGGAATTCTTCTTTCAATTCCATTGACTCTTCATCATATGCTACCTCCTGAAATGCTAAAACATCGATCAGTTCTCTTTGTTACAGTGACTCTATATATTCATCTCACTTTTTTTTGATAATTCTTGTGCTGTTCAATATTTGTCCTGTAGACTCCTTCAATATTTCAACCCAAGGTTTGAATTTTTCTTCAGTTCTTTCAGATGAGAAATGCTGATTGTGTTGTTCTCTTTTGGTTTTCCAACTCTATATCTTTACACATTTAATTATATCTTACTTTTTAATGTATTTTTCTCAAGTCGTGAAGAACACAGTGCCTATTTTATGTACCTCATATTAATAGAATCATACAATATTTGTCGTTTTGTGTCTGTCTTATTTTACTTAGCATAATGTTTTCATGGTTCATCCATGTAGCCTTACAGAATTTCATTCCTTTTTATGTCGGAATAATATTCCATTCTGTGTATAGCTATATAGAAAGATATATAAGTATAGCTATCTATCACAGATTGCTTATCTGTTAGTGAACACATGGTGGCAGTAAATGTTAGTGAACCAATATCTGCTTGCGTCCTGCTCTGGCTTCTTTGGAGTGGAATTGGTGGACATGATAACCCTATGTTCCACTCTGTGAGGAGCCACGGATTTGTTTTCCACCGTGACCACACAATTGTAACTTCCCGCTAGTAATGCGCTGGCGTTCAGTTAACATTTTCCACAGCTTCACCACACTTGCTATTTTTTCTTTACATTTTATTTTATAATTGTCATCCTACTTGTTGTGACAATGATGTTTCATTGTTGTTTTGATTCACCTTTTCCTAATGAGTAAGGATGTTGAATATTTCAGGTGCTTGTGAGCGACTTGCTCTCTTTTCTGGGCTAATGTCTGTTCAAGTCCTTTTGTTATGCTTTTTAATTGTGTTGCTTGCTTTTAATGATTGGACTGTAGGAATTCTTCACATATTCTGGATATTGATCACTTTTCAGATAGATGATTTACAAATATTTTATCTCTTTCTGTGAGTTGCCTTTTCACCCCATTTATCATTTTCTTTAATGCTCAGAAGTTTTGAAGTTGATGAAGTCTAATTTATTATTCTTTCCTTTTGTTTATTGTGCTTTTGGTGTCGTGCCCAAGAAGTCACTTCTAAATTCAAGGTTATATTTTCTCTTAATACATTTAAAGTTTTAGCTCTTATTGAACCATTTTGAGTTTATATTTTTATATAGTGTAGTAGAACATTGATTTTGAAAAGCAATATTCAGGGAGAGGGGGACAGGGGAGGGAGGGGGAAAATGAGGAGCTGATATCAGGGGCTCAAGTGGAAAGCGAATGTTTTGAGAAATGATGGCAACAAATGTACAAATGTGCTTGACACAATGGATATACATATGTATGGATTGTGATAAGAGTTGTACGAGCCCCCAATAAAATGATTTTTTTTTTAAAAGAAAAGCAATATGACAATATGTATCAACAGCCACAAAATTGTACATGCCCTTTAACTCAGAGATCTTTGTTCTGAGATCTTAGGGAATTAATTCACCAGCAAAAAAACCTTAGCAACTGTAATCATGATATCATTTGTTGTTGCAGTATTTATAGTAGCTAAAATTTTAAACATCATACTGAAAGAAACTAAGCATACTTGTTAATGTGTGTGCCTTCCTACACACACTGTCTCCTTAAAAAGTGCCATCTCACAGACATGAGGACCCCCACAGTGTCGTTAAAAATTAGTAAGTAAAACTGTGAAACAAATTTATCACACATGGAGTAATTCTTTAGTAACCAACATCATTAAATATTGTTCAAATAGTATCTATTTTAAATGATGAAAACATTTCATTTATCTTAAAAAAAGTAAAATTGTACATTCATAATGATTATAACCATATAAAAATAGGTCTTCAGCTGATTAAGAGAAGACTAGGCAAAATTTAAGATAGTTGGACTTAGGGAGAGGAAAGCTTTTTCTATTAAATTTTTTAGTTTTTTTAGCTGGATATTGATTTTGCAATAAAATGTGATTTTTTTAAAAAGAAGATATGAAATCATTTTCTTTAACAATATGTTTCCAAGTTCATTTTCTTTTTAAAAAAATCAAACGTTAATACAAAATGTAAGCTAATACAGTCTCTCTTTTCTTTTAAAAACAGAAAATTCAAGGTCTTCAAGGATGTAGAAACTTGGAAAAACTATATTTATATTATAATAAAATTTCCCAAATAGAAAATTTAGAGAAATTAGTCAAATTGGAAGTTCTCTGGCTAAACCACAATGCAATTAGAAGTATTGAGGTAAGATAAGCTTAGTGATTTATATGCAAGGTAAATTATTATTGTAGAGTTTCAACCATGATGTCCAAAATCATATTGTATTTAAGAAACGTATTCATGAATGACAATTATTCATGTTAAAAATAACTATCAAGTGAATACCATTTTTGTAATGTACAAAGAGCTTGTAATGTACAGAATTCCCTTTATTCTCACAACAAATCTGAGAAGTAGACGTTATCCGTCCTGTTTTTCAGGTTTTAAAAAGGCGAACTGAGAGGCGTTATATAACTTGCTGAAGATTATACAACACACAGTGTGGTGTGTTCTCCTTCTTTCTGCCTCTCCTCTTGGTCTCTAGTTTCCATCCTGTTCCTGCCTCCTCCCATAATGACTTCTGGGTTCTAGTATAAAACACAGGAAAGGATTCCATGGTACACCCTCTTTCTTCTGTGCTTGTGAAGTGGGTCACACTCAGTTACAAAGTACTAAATTGATCAGATGATTTGAAAATATAAATTTTAATGATTTCTTCCCCTGAATTATTTGTCTTTTTAATCCTTAGGGCTTGCAAATGTTGAAGAAGTTAAATGATCTCAACCTTGCTGGAAATCAAATAAGTAGCATTGGTATGTATTGCTGCATTTAGAATCTGAGATAATACTACAATCATTTGTTCTCAATATAAAAATATATATACTTATATTTTATCTATTTTAAGCTGTATGATGTCTTAGCAAAGTATTTCTAAACCTGTGCTGTTAATCTTATACAGATCACAAGTAGGACAGGATAAGACCAGGAGTTAAAACAAGAAATTTAATTTTTTTTCATCTTGCTTTCTAAATTTAAGGTCGATGCCTTGACCCCATTGAACTACTGGAAAGACTAAACCTTTCTGGTAACCAGTTATGTTCTTTCAAGGTATGTTTAAATGGACTAATTCAGTTTTATTTTTCAACTTGTAAAGTGAATCCTCTTATGAAAGAAATTGAATAAATAACCCCAGTTTGAGGAAGGATTTCATTATTTTGGGCCACCTGGCACTCTAAAAAGTTTTAGAGCTAACTGGATTAATTTTAATAGTCTTACTTTCTTAAAATTAAAAGCAAATATCTATTTACTTGGCTTTTAGAACGCCACTTTCTTTTTTAATTAAATACTATTATTGGGGGCTCATCATACATTCATCCAGTGTGTCAAGCACATTTGCACATATGCTGCCATAATCATTTTCCAAGCATTCTCTTCCCACTTGAGGCCCTGATATCAGCTCCCCATTTCTTCCCCGTCCCTCTCCTGCCTGCCCTCCCTCACAACCCTTGATAAGTTATAGATTATTCTTTTTATATCTTATATCGCCCTCCATTGCCCTTCACCCACTTTTCCGTTGTTTGTCCCCTTGAGAAGGGTTTATAGGGTGATCCTTGTGATGGATTCCCCACCACCCCACCACCCTCCCCTAATCCTCCTGGTATCTCAACTCTCATTGTTGGCCCTGGGCAGGGGGGGGGGCATTATTTATCCTGGATTCCCTGTGTTTCGGACTCTTATATGTAGCAGTGTGCATGCTCTGGTCTAATCCAATTTGCAAGGTAGAATTGAGATCATGATAGTGGGGGGAAGGAAACACCAAAGAACTAGATTGCTCCTGACTGGCTCATTTCTTCCCTGTGATGCCTCTGTAGGGGGATGTCCAATTGTCTACAGATGGACATTAGGTCTCTACTACTCCCCCCAGCCTCATACACATCGGGTATAATTTTGTTTTGGGTCTTAGATGCCTGGTACCTGATCCCATCGACACCTCATGATTACACAGGCTGGTGTGCTTCTTCCATGTAGGCATTGTTGCTTCTTAGCTAGATGGCCTCTTGTTTATATTCAAGCCTTTGAGACTCCACATACCACATCTTTCAATAGCCAGGTACCTTCAGCTTTCTTCACCACATTTACTTATGCACCCATTTTTTGTGCAGCAATCATGTTGGGAAGGTGAGCATCACAGAATGCCAGATTGTTAGAACAAAGTGTTCTTGTGTTGAGGGAGTACTTGAGTCAAGGACTAATGTCCATCTGAAACCTTAATTCTTAACATAGAGATATGAGTACATAGTTCTATTCCTCTCTTGTTATATATATATTTACATATGTGCATGCCTGTATTAAGACCTCTATAAATTTCCTTTGTCTCCTGGTTCTTTTCTCTATTTCCTTTTACTTTCCTCTTGTCCCTCCATCATGTTCGGCCTTCATTCGGGTTTAGAAATTCCTCACTGCTACATTGCCCTCGATTAAGTTCCACTAGGCATCCTACACCCTTCTCTCCATTGATTTTAGTTCACTTGTTGTTCCCTTGTCCCTGGGTTAGTCCCCTCACCCTTTCCTTTCTCCCACTTCCTTTTCTCCCACATCCCCCCTGGAACCATTGGTTCCATTCTTTTCATTTCTGAATTATTTATCCCGCCTATCTTATCTAGATAGACATGCAGATACATTAATAAGTGCAAAAACCTGGCAAATCCAAATAAAACAACAAAGGAAGTCAAAACCAACAAAACAACAATAACAGCAACAACAAAAGAAACCCACTGACAAAAATGGAAAGGCCTAGAATTAGTTCAAGTTCTGTCTGTTGGCCTTCATGAGTGTTTTTCAGTCAAGGATGATGGGGTGCCACACTCTGTCCCCAAAGTACATTTTTGGTATTTCTTGGGGATTTATTTTATCACTTTACTCCCCTTGCTGCTCTGTTGCATGCCCTTGGTGTTTCGCCCCAGTGTGATGGGGTCAGATTGTCTCTAGTATTGTCCCCCACAGTGCTATGGTTTAGTGAAGGACATCAAGGACACCACTTTCTGTTCACATTCTTCCAATCTTTTTGGCTATACTTCTTCACTTCACTGGTTCCTTGTCCTTTCTAACATCTAAATAATACTTTTCTTTATGTCTGTGCTTGAATCTTTTCTCATTTCTATCAGTCTGTCTTATTTCTCCAGATAATTTGTGAGTATTTGAATTAAGGCAGTGACAGCAAAAAAAAAAAAAAAGGCTCTGAGAGACATTGTGACTGATGAATTTTCTCTGGCAGCCAATAGAATGTAGGGATCACGAGAGTTCAAAATGTGTCTTCTATCACATTTCTTAATGAGCTCAAGAATGATGATGCTATTAGCCGCTCTACCCAGGCCTGAAAAAGAGAAGTCGTTCCAGCATCATATTAGGGGTGAATTAATGAAATGTTTGACCAAATAGTGCAGGATAATTTTTAGGTTGCTTATTTTGTATGGCCCAAGAATGATGTTATAAATGTCCAAATGGCTGTTGGCAGGAAAATGTTCCCCACCTCTGATCTAAATGAAGAGAGAAAGGAAGAAAAAACTACTGAGTGTCAAGAACTGTGAAGGGTCTGGGAACTTAACCTATTGGCAAGCTAACAAGCTAACCTGTTGCTGTCTCATAGATGCTTGTAGAAGAAACAAGACTTGAGTCAGAGATAAAAGGATGTTATTATCCCTGACCTAGCAAGAAGCATGAGCATGATGTTATTTTGCTTGGATCTCACATGGCTCCCCCCCATCAAGTCCCATGATGGTGGGCCTAGATGAGTGCTGCGCAGGAAGTGGGTTTGCATCACAACCAAGGAGCACTGAGTGTGAGGAAGCTACTTCCTTAATACCAAGCAGAAGCAAGCCTGCACATTGTAGAAGGTCGAGGGAAGACATTACTGCATTCTTGTAGGTTACTCACTACAAACACAATCCTGAGAAATGGGCAAAGGGCATTCGTGCTGTGCAGCCTTGGCATACCCAGAAAGAAAACAATATTCTCAAGGCCTCTGATGAATTGCCCTTCCCGATACCGAGGCTAGCAAGTAGTCATAGATGACTTGATTAGACCCGAGGCCATAAGCCATGACTGAAATCCGAGCCACCCAAAGAGTAGCAGCAGGGGCTGGGCTGGGTCCTTAGCACAGCTAATTAACCAGTGATAGACCAATGAATGAATGAATGAGTAGTAAATAGATAAATAAATAAATAGTTACTCGGCATTCTCCCTCTAAGTTCTACTAGATCAAGATATTCTGGATCATCAAGTCAAACTAACCACTTGGGAATGTAAAGCACTTGTCTATTAAACACATTCAAGGGAACTTTCAACATTTTGTTGAAAAATTCCATTATCTTTTAGTGCCATTTCCCCAGGAACTTTTTGAAGCCCTCTCCTATTAAAATTAAAAGAAAATGCTTGTGAAGTTACATTTTCAGTGAATAAAGTAGGTTAAGGATCGTGAAAAAAAAAACTATCAGCCTTGAGAAGAATGGGAATTCCAGAACACTGTATTGTGCTCATGCAGAACCTGTGCATGGATCAAGAGGCAGTTGTATAACTAGAACAAGGAGCTACTGCATGGTTTAAAATCAGGAAATGCGTGCTTCAGGGTCATATCCTCTCACCATACTTATTCAATTGGTATGCTAAGCAAATAATCAAGAGAAACTGGATTATGCAAAGAACAATGCTGTATCAGAATTGGGGGAAGGTTTATTAATAAATTTTTAAAAAATCAATGCATTTAAACTATGGTGTTGGTGAAGAATATTGAATGTATCCTGGAACGCTGTTTGTCTTTTGTATAATTTTCTATATATGAAATCCAGGATATAGGTAAATCTATAGAGACAGTAACTGGATTAATAATTACCTAAGCAGCCCTGTTGGCATAGTCGTTACACAGTGTAATGAGCTTTCCAAGGTCAGCAGTTGGAAGCTACCACCTCTGTGGGAACAAGATGAGGCTTTCTATCCCCCTAAAAAGCTACTGTTCTGGAAGCCAAGCCCACAAAGGCAATTCTACCTTAGCTTAGGTGTTTTTGGTTTCAGGGGAAATGGGGAGCTAATAAGTACAATAAGAAAATATTTTCTATTTGATTGTAGTAGTGTTGGCACAACTCTTCTTAATATGACTGATTAAATTGTATGATATGTAACACATATGGCAATATAACTGTTTAAAAAGTACCAACAATCTGCTTTGGAAGAAGTACAACAGAATGCTCCACAGAGGCAAGGACAGGAAGACTTCACCTCACGTGCTATGGACATGTTTTCAGGAAAGACCAGTCCCGGAGGGAGGGGGGAAAATGAGCACCTGATGCCAGGAGTTTAAGTGGAGAGCAAATGTTTTGAGAGTGATGAGGGTAATGAATGTACAAATGTGCTTTACACAATTGATGTATGTATGGATTGTGATAAGAGTTGTATGAGCCCCTAATAAAATGATTAAAAAAAAAAAAAGACCAGTCCTTGGAGAAGGTCATTATGTTTGGTAAAGTAGAGAGGCAGCAAAAAAAGGCCCTGGACGAGATGGATTAACGCAGTGGCTGCGATGATGGGCTATAAGCATAGACAGAATTGTGAGAATGGCACAGGACCAGGTAGTGTTTCTCTCATGTCCCAGGCTTCTGCAGTTTTCTGCCATGCCTTACAGAACCCACAAACCATTCAGGAAATGGCTTGTGTGGTTGTGGATGCTGGCAAGTCCAAAATCTGACATTCAGACAACCATCTGGAGCTTTTCCTTATCCACAAAGATGTAGCAGCTGATGGAATCAAATCAAGTGACACGCTGAAACTCAAGTCTGAAGAACCAGAGGTCAGGGAGAGGCAAGCCAGAGAGAGGATCCTGAGCACAGAATATCTTAAAGAAAGTCAAAGCAGGGCTCCTCGCTTCTGCACATGTTCAGGCAGGAAGGGACGGTCACCGAGATGGCTTTGACGGAGGCATGGTTTTTGCCAGCTGCAGACCCTACTCAGCTGCTGGCCTGGTTTTAGAAGTGAATATTGACCTCCTCCAGAGTCTGTTCTCACCTATGTAGTCAAGTGGATTTCAGTGTATTCCATCTGGAGAAATCCGCCCATATAGTGAATTTTGTGTTGTGGAAAAAATGGCATTTGCAAAAACACCTTACCTTAGGTGTTTTTGGTTTCAGGAGAAACGGGGAGCTAATAAGTACAATAAGAAAATCTTTTGTATTTGATTGTAGTAGTGTTGGCACAACTCTTCTTAATATGACTGATTAAACTGTATGATATGTAACACATATGGCAATATAATGGTTTAAAAAGTACCAACAATCTGCCTTAGAAGAAGTATGACAGAATGCTCCATAGAGCATTGTGTTTATCCATTGATCTTGCAAAATTCAGTCATATGATGTTCAGCTTCATTTCTATCACCAAGGCCATATTTTCCAAGGCTGATACAATCTGCTTTCTGAAAGTGAGGAGGACTTGAAGCACTTGCTGATGAAGATCAAGAATTTCAGCCTTCAGTTTGGATTACAATTCAAAGTAAAGAAGAATAAAATTCTCAAAACTGGACCAATAGGTAACATCAAGATAAGTGGAGATCAGCTTGAAGTTGTCAAGAATTTTGTCTTGCTTAGCTCCACACTCAATGCTCATGGAAGCAGTAGTCAGGAGCTCAAATGATGCATTGCATTGTGTAAATCTGTTGCACACGGCCTCTTTCAAGTGCTGAAAAGCAAGGATGTTACTTTGAGAACTAAGGGGCACCTGACCCAAGCCATGATATTTTCCATGATCTCATATGCTTGTGAAAGTTGGACATTAAATCAGGAAGACAGAAGAAGAATCGATGCATTTCAATTGCAGTACTGGTGAAGAATCTTCAAAATACCATAGACTACCAAAAGAACCAACACATCTGGACCAGGCAGTGTTTCGTTCTGTTGTACTGAGGGTCACTAAGCATTGGAACCTTCTAGATGGCACTTAACAACAACCATATTCTGCTACCTCCAGGGAAACAAAAGGGTGATGATTTGAGTCACAGCCTCTAGTAAGGTGGACACTCAAAATACACCTCACTCTAATCGCGTCTCATCATTAACCCTGGTGGTATAATAGTTATGAATTGGGCAGCTAACCACATAGTCTCTCTCCCTGGGAGAAAGATAAGACTTTTCTGCTCCCATTAAGATTTCCACCGGGAGGGTGGCCACAGAAGGTGGGGTAGAAAGGGGGAACCAATTACAAGGATCTATATATTTCTCCTCTCTGGGGGACGGACAACAGAAAAGTGGGAGGCGTTGGACAGTATAAGACATGATAAAATAATAATAATTTATAAATTATCAAGGGTTCATGAGGGAGGGGAATAATGAGCTGATACCAAGGGTTCAAGTAGAAAACAAAATGTTTTGAGAATGATGATAGCAACAAATGTACAAATGTGCTTGACACAATGGATGGATGGATGGATTGTGATAAGAGTGGTATGAGCCCCCAATAAAATGATTAAAAAAACAAAAAGATTTCCAGTCTCTGCAACTTACATAGGGCAGTTCTACCCTGTCCCAGAGGGCCACTGGGAGTCACGGTTGGCTCGGGGGCAGTGAGTTTGGGTTGTGTTTTACCCACATATGCTTTCTGTTGGATAGTCTTTTTTTATTTTGTTTTTAATGCACTTTAAACGTTTAAAAAAAACACTCTCAGTGTTTTTGGTAGACTAAAGGATAAAGCCCATACACCCCCTTGGCTTATAGTCTTGTGGCATGCACAAGCAATTGTCAAGAGAGTGTGATGAATTCTGCAACAAAGTTAAAGACAGTGGCTAAGAGTTCAAAGGATGAGCTTCTACCCCAACCTTAGAGGATGAGAGAACGTTTCAGAGCAGATGCCATGGTGACCACCCACAGCTGTCCCTAAGGAGATCAGACCCACAAGTAGAAGAAAACGGAGAGCAGTGTCCCTAGGCGGTAAGTAGTGGGTGAAGGAGGCAGGAACTTGGCAGGTACACTGGGGCAATTGTTAACAAAAGGAGTTGTGCGAAAAAGGCACACTTTTCTTTATACATACATGACTTCAAACGACTGCTTCCAGGGTTCTAATTGGAAAGAGCATATGGTTTTGTACATATTTTTTTAATCTTTTGTATTTAAAATACACACTTAGAGTGTGGTCTTTATGTAGTTAACTCTTTTTTTCACTAGAGAAAAGGACTTTAGCTCTCTAAATCACTTTAATACATTTAAACACATAATTAGAATGCACTGCATCTGATAATGGATTACTTTAAGTGTTCAAATGCCTCCTTTAGGATTGGACAGCCACAGTTAATTAACTGAACATTGTCATCACTGTTGTTTTAGGATCTCACTAACTTAACCAGGCTGCCACACTTAAAGGATTTATCACTGAATGATCCTCAGTATAAAACCAATCCAGTTTGTCTACTGTGCAATTATTCCATACACATATTGTATCATTTGCCTTACCTTCAGAGACTTGATACATTTGATGTGTCATCAAAGCAAATCAAGGAGCTGGCAGATGTAAGTATATCCTTAATTGGGCATCTGACTTAAATTTGCATGTTCTGATTTAAGATCATTGTGGATTAATGTGTTGTTTCTTTCTGGATGTGCCCACATACAGTAGTATTATCTGGTCAGTTCTAATCACCAAATCTACTTTTGTCTCAGTCAGCTGCATAGTTCATGTCCAAGTGCCAATAGAGATGCTGGAATTTTCATTTTGATGATAGCACTGAAAGATGAATAGAAAAAAATATGTTTCAGTTCTAAATGAAACACAAATGATGAAAACCTGGAAAAATAATGAATGTTTAAGCAATTTGGACTAGTTCCATGTGTGTTAAAATTAATGAAATCCAAATAAGAATAAAAATGAAATAAGAACCTTCCTTTGATTTGGACATTATATATCACAGTTGGAAAATATCCATGATTGATGACAGAATGCCAAGAATTAAGTCATTTTTAATTCCTTATTTGCTGTTTATTAATTCAGTGATTTGGAGTTGACTGGAAATATAAGTGAATCTTCCCACACTATCATAGTAACTCTGAAATCTGGAAAAGAACCTTTTCTGTACTGCTTCTGACAGTGAACCGCTTCCAAAAGGGGGCCACTTTGACATGCCACGAAGGCATCTATAATTTAAGAATTACAGATTTTCATCATGTTTATTAATAGTCTTTCAGCATTATGTTTTTATCACACCTTCCAATCTAGTGAGATGCCCACCTTGCCCCATTTTTTCATTCAGTTAATCACCCACTAAATAGTCTTGGAGCATCCAGTATGTGCCAAGGATGTAGACTCCCCTACAATGAAGTCTTCCCATTCTTTCCTTGTTCATCCATTATCTTCACAGGGATGACTGTTCATTTAGTCTAGTCATCTTCTATACTATCATGAGGATTTATTCTCAAGCATGATTCTCTTCTCTCCCCCACCTCCACCCCCGCCCCGCCCACCAATATTGAGATGATCATCTCTTGGAAGAGAGACATCAGAGATAAGGAGAGACGTGGCAGGGAAACTATTATGTGAGATTCTTTGGAATATTGTGAGGCCATTGGATTTTTACTTGGAGTAACTGGGTGCCACTGGAAAGTTTTTTGTAAAAGAGGAACAAGATAACATGTTTTTAAAAACTCCTTCTACTCAAAGTTTTAGAAATAGGCAATTAGAGACAAACGTGAAAATAGGGAGACCAGCTAAGAGATCATTGTAGTAATTCATATGGGTGATGTTGATGGCTTGATGCAAGGTAGTTGTAGAGACAGTGGTAAGAAGTGGTCAAATTCTGGTAGTAGTTAGAAGGGGGAATTCACCTAGCTTTGCTGATAGATTAGGTAGAGGGTTGAGGGAAAATAATGTTGAATTACTGGCCTGAGGAACTGAAGGTAGGCGTTACTACTTGATGAGGGAAGGAAGAATATGGCACTAGATTTAGAAGGAGGAATCACTGTCTGAATTTAAGCAATCTTGTGAATATCCAAGTGGAGCTAGTCAGTAAGTTAGGACCTATTGGGTCTGCTGAAAGCTCCATAATGGAGATATAAAATGGAATTGAAAACAAGATGGTACTTATAAAGCTATGACCTTGGTAGGTCACCAAGGAAATGGTGCTGAGAGAGTAATGTGATGCTTGGTTGTGAGAGTTGAAGAGGGAAGGAGACTTACAAGGAGAACTAGGGGAGGCAAGTTGTGACATTTTAAACTATACCACCCGTAACAGTCGTGTATCAGTTATGGGTGGTATAGCTTAAGAACAAAATAAGGAATTGTTATATAATTCCTGACATCTTGCCTTGAATTATGTCATTATATTACAGTCTTCCCACTGTAAAATTCTTTTTTATTCTTCCTTTACCTTCTAAAGTCTGTTGTGAAGTGGAATTTCTTTAAGTGGGATTTCTTTATATGGCTCCTCTACTCGTGTCTCTTAACTCCCATCAAACGACTGGGTTGGACTATGCAAATAAGGTGTCTGAAACACTAATAGAGGTTATTGGTCACTTTGGGTTGCCATTCTCTTGGCTGTAAAAGAACTACCTCAGAAGCAGGAAGAGAGAGAATTCCTAGGACCATCAAGGAGGAGAACCACCAGCAGAGCATGTTCAGGAGCCTTGCCTCAAGTGGCAGAGGCAGAGACTGGAGACCAAGAGGCACGGAGACTATGGGACAGGGGGAAGGAGCCAGAGCCGAGGGACTGTGCAGTGGAGACAGACAGAGCAGAGGGGCTGTGCCCCTGAGACCTGAGACCATGAGATAATGCGGTGGAGCATCAGCAGGCTGACTTTCTGAAGCCAAGGGACCATGTGGCTGAGAGGTTGAGGACCAGAGAAAGAGACTTGACTGTTGGCTGGGAAAGGCACTACTGTGGATCAATGACTGTATCCTTACTGTTTGCAGATCCTGGCAATTGGTAACTTCCTTAATTAACCCCCTCAATTGTGGGTATATGGTCATTGCAACCGGTTGTTGAAGCCAGCAGAAATTGGTTTCTAAGTAGGATAAAAGAAGGATGGAGGTTGGAGGCATTTCTGACTTTTGCCTCCTGGTAGTTGGCTTGGGCTGTTGTGGTGATGGATTCTCCATCTCCCTTGTGCAGCAACAGGAGATCAGATGTGGCCTCTGTGTCAGATTCACCAAATAGGGTTATATAACACTGTTCAACTTTTGATTCAAGTCAAAATGAAGTTTTAAATTCAGAGCATTTTTAATTTAATAGAATTGCACATAATCTTTCAGGACACTTTCTTCGTCGCTGGCCATAGGTTGTGGCCATGCTCTAATGTGATTAACATTTCCTCCCATGATCTATAGAGACTGGAGTCGTTTATGTAAATTGAAAATGATAAGCAAATTTATAACCCACCGGGAGTACTGCCAGGCACTCAATATGAGACACAGTGAAGCACATGGGTTTGGAATTAGAAGACTTTGATTTAAGCTTGGCTGCACTTGCTACTACCTATCCCATAGGCTAAGGCTCTCCGTCTCTCCGAGCTTCAGGTTTCTGAGTCATTAAAATGATGATGACAATAATATTATCTACTCTTCATCAGAATGTTGTGGTGTGGCATTAATATGCATAAATTATTTGTGCATAATTAATATGCGTAAAAGTCCATTTAAAGTGCCAAGTGCTATAGAAACAACCTTTTTGAAATTGTAGTTCATTCCATTTCTGTTTATGACTTTGGTTTCTTTGGGGCCATTCCAAAAGCCAATCGATCAACTTCCTTTTTTTTTTTTTTGTTTCCAAATGGTTATTTTATCAGATTGCTTGAATATTAAATTTATCTTTGTTTGCAATCCCAAATAGTTACCTGAAGTTTGCTGTTTGGTGTGTGTTTACTTTTATTGTATACTTGTTTTCTAAACTCTTTGGCACAGTTTTCTGAGGCGTTCAGATGGCCGCAATACAGGTCGGAGAGCGTTTTTCTTTCTATTGTGCTGCCAATTCTGAGCACTCAGAGCTTTTGGTTTGTTGGGGTTGTGGTTGTTTTGAACTCTGTATTCTTTATTTGTAACAACTGTATTTTTATTTTTTCTAAATCCTCTAACTCCAGAGTTTTCTTTTTCTCCCTCCCTCCCCCTTCTACATTCACAGTTGAACCATATTATTAGGAAAGGCGCCTGATGAAAATGTGAGCTCTGACCATTCATCAGTGTTTTCCCTCAAAGATATATATTTAAAAAAATAGAAACAAACAAACCCCCTAAAGAGCATCTTTCTTTCTTTCTTTTTTTTTTGTCTTAAACATCTCTTGCGCTGCATCAGTAGACAGAACTTCGGTTAGTTTTATGAAATGCAACGTCTAACCCATTTCCAGCAGGGAGGGGTGAGGGGGTCACCTTCCATTTTTGAATATAGCATTATGTGTTGGGTACCATCGTTGGCTCTGACTCATAATGACCCTATGGACAGCAGAACAAAACACTCCCTGGTCATGTGTCAATTTCACAATTATCATTACGTTTGAGCCCATTGTTGCAGCCACTGTTGAGGGTCTTCCTCTTTTCCCTTGCCAATCATGATGCCACTCTCCAGGGTCTGGTCTCTTCTGATCATTTGTCCAAAGTAAGTGAGGTAAGATCTCAGCGTCCTAGCTTCTAGGAAACATTCTGGATGTATTTCCGCCAAGACAGATGTGTTTCTTGTTCTGGCAGCCCAACATCATAATTCAAACACATTAATTCTTCTCCTGTATTTCTTATTTCCTGTCCAGCTTTCACACACATATGAGGTGATATAAAAAGTCATGGCTGAGTCAGGCACACCTTGATCCTCAAAATGCTCTTTAACACTTTAAAGAGGTCTGATGCAAAAGATTTGCCAACTACAATACATCATTCAATTTCTTGACTGCTGCTTCCATGAGTGTTGATTGTGGATCCAAGTAAAATGAAATCTTTGACAATGTTTCTCTATTTATCGTGATGATATCCATTGGGCCAGTTGTGAGAACTTTGTTTTCTTTATATTGAGTTGTAATCCATTCCGAAGGCTGTATTATTTGAACTTCTTCAGTAAGTGCAGTTAGCGTTATAATTAAATTCTAATTTAAAACAAACTTTTCTATTATAACTTTTCTACCAAATTCCTTTGCAATGATGTTGACAATTACTTTGTATTGATGCTTAATTCTCAAAAATGCAAATGCATGTTCAAATAAACAAATGGATTATAGAATCAGCCTCAAAGTTGATTTGCTATACACCTACCAATTCTTGGACAGTCTTCCCCACTTCTCTAAGACCTCAAACAAAGAGAATTAAAGACATTATTGATAACTCTTATTTATTGTTTTTTGCAAATGTATGCCAAAAAAAAATCAAGAAACATCATTTGCTATTTCCTTGCATTTTTTTCTTAATGAATTTGTTTGCGTCAAACTCTTATTAGAGACTTTTCTATCAGTCCTAAAACATTATATCATCCTAATACATTTTTTATTTGTTCTTTTCATATGAATTCCTTATTTTTGGCAGATTAACTTATCAATTTTAGCTCCAGAACATCATAATTTACAGTCGGAGTATGAAGAAAAATAATTAGATTAGGCCTCTTCGTCTTGCCATATGTTTGTTTCTATTTAGTCCTTTATGACAAATAATTATGAGCTATCTTGATTATTCACTCTATATCAAATAGATACCTCTAACTAGAGGCTACATTTGTAAAAATGCGTGTTCAGAATCATATACAAGCCTTCCAGCTTAAACGAGGTACAGATTTCCTGGTAAAGAGAAATGGCTTTATTATTTCAGGTAAATGCTGAAAACAAGATCATATTTTTATAGTGCACCTTGTTTGTTTATTTTCTCCACAGATACTTCTTGTTGACTTATCCTGTTAAGCACTAATTAACTGATAATATGTTTAAATGGTAGATTTAACCAATTTACTATAATACATCTATTGATAACTGAGTGATCCTTTGGTATTACAGAATTCAAGAAAATTAGATTACACTGGCCACTTAGCACTTTTCCCCATCTTAAAGCCAGTTCATTTGAAGCATGAAATCATTAAGAAATATTTTATTGTCATGTTTTTTAAAAATGAAGAAAACCCTGGTGGCATAGTGGGCTATACACACTGACCTGCTAATCATAAGATCAGCAGTTCAAACCCACTAGCTGTCTAATCCTGTACAGATTTAAAGCGTCTAAAACCTAAAGAGATAGTTCTACTCTGTTCTACAGGGTCCATATGGTTCTGAATGAACTCACTGGCAACGAGTTTATTTTTCCTTTTAACATTTAAAGATTTTACCCAAGTTAAGCAAGTAGAACCATGTAGCTATACATTTGCTTTAGTAATACTGTCTTATTAGCTAAATGATACTATTGTGTAAATTGAATTTTCTATAGTCTCTTTATGCTGTCAAACTAGAAATAAGTATATGCCTTACATTTAAAATATTATTCACAAGGAACATCTTTAAAATTGTATGTTTTGCTGATTGAGTTTAAATGTAGAATCTGTGTAGCCATTATTATCACTTTAACCATTAATAATTGGACATTTAAAACTTTCTCTTTGTAATATAAGACATGGCACAGTCATATTAGTATTGCTAATATAAATTTTAAAATTACCACTAATAACAAATAATTCTATTTTTTCAGCTAAATTTTAATAATTTTCTCACTTTTAGGCCACAACAATGAAAAAATTAATGTATTACAATATGCGCATAAAGACTGTGCAGAGACATCTTAATGAAGAGCTTGAAAAACTGAATGACCGAAAATGCAAATTACAAAAGTTGCCAGAAGAACGAATAAAATTATTCAGATTCACTAGGAAAAATGTAAGCTTTAGTGTCATGAAACTTATGTGATTACAATTTAAGAAAAATGCCAGCTAAAGTAACATTATCTTTATATATACATATAGAAATATAAAATATATCTTAAAATGTGGATATATTTATATATAATATATTTATATATCTTTCTATATAAAGATAATGCTACTTAAAATATATATGCTTTCAAATCAATACTGTATTTCATGTCATAGGTGCTCCCAAAATAATGTTTCCATTGTAGGAGGTTAACTTTAAACTGCATTCTGTGTTGAGAAATAGCAGTTCAAAGAATGTGGGCTTCAGGAGCTTTGGTGGCATGGGGGTTTATGAATTTGGCTGCTCACTTCCACAGAAAGCATGGGCTAACTCACTTATAAAATGTTTTAAAGTTATGTACACTGTCAGAGAGCTAGAAGGATCTGTAAGGACTCATTCCAGCTGCATTTTTATTAGACACCAGCAGGTTGTGCTCAAAATTCATTTTCTTGCTTGAAGTGCTAAAATATCCCTTGACTCACAGGTGGAAACTTTAACTCTAGCTATGCCTTAGCAGGCTATGTTTTGTGTGCTTGCTGGTTTAGAACTGGGTTTCCTTTACTAAAGGTAGAACCTGAAAAACTAAGGATTATTTAGACAAAACAGACATTTGTGTATGTAAGAACTTATAATAAATAAATAACTTTATAAAGGTGAAGTATGGGAACATAATAGATTATTCAACAAATAGTACTAGAAAAACTGTCAAACTATTTGGGGGACGGGAAATAGAATCTTTACATCATATCAAAAGTAAATGCTACTTATATGAAAGCATAAAATGAAAAAACTGAAAACTATGTAGATGCATATTTAACTGATCTCAGTGGTCAGATTAAGCAATTACTAGAAATCACAAAAAAACAAAAGTTAGATTTAACTATGATAAGTCAATTAACAAATAAGTAATTAAACTCTGGTGCAGTAAAAAATAACTAATTAAATTAATAAATAAAGGCCAACCGAAAAAAGATTGCTTTCAGCAAACATGACGACCAAAGGAACCTTCGGCCTATAAGTAACTCTTCTAAAACAAGAGAAAGTCTAAATACCCAAATAGAAAAGTCGATCAAGTTACATGAACTGCATTTCACCCAGAAGAAACTTTAAAATTACCAATAGACATTTGACAGGAGAATCCAATCTTTACTCATTACTTACTTCCAAATGTTAATTAAAGTGATCAGAAATTATTTTATCCATACAACTGTCAAAGCTTAGCATATGCTAGTGTTTGGTCTGCTGAAGACAGGGGCAGCACAGCACCACTGATGGAAGGGTGCCTGCCATGCACATCAGGAGCCTAAGAATGTTCATGGCCTTTGAGCTAATAAATCTATTTCTAGCACTCTTTTTAAAAAGATTTTGATAAAGTTTTATACATAAGGATGTTTATCACTGCATTATTAATAATAAGAAAGTAGAAATTGCCTAAATGTTTACTTATGAGTTAAGTTATTCTTAAGCTATAGCAAGAGGGGGAACCATTATGAATCAGGTTCTTGAAATATATCTAGCATTTTTCTAAGATGGGCGAGTATTAGTTGCCATTGCAACTTGAAAATTTTTTATAAAAATATAATTTAAATGATGTATTTTAATAAAATAATAGGTAGTTATATGAAAATAATTTTGTATCTCATTTTCATGTGAAAATACAGGTATTAGGTAAAATCTAGAGATATGAGACACAATAATTATATTGGAACTTGTGCATTACTAGGAGAATAGGAAATACTATATTGTTTGAAATCCGTAAAGTTCTGTGCCAGGGTTACATCTTTTCACCATGTTTATTCAGTTTGTAGACTACGTAAATAATCTACAGATCTGGCCTGGATGAAGGGGAGTATGACATCAGGTTGGAGGCAAACTCCAACCTGAAACATGCAGATGACACAAATGACTCGAAGCCAGTGAAGATCAAGGATCGCAACTTTCAACATGGGTCACACCTCCACAGAAAGCAAACCAAAATTCTTACAATTAAACTAATAAGCATTATTACGATGAATGGAGATTAGAGGTAGTGAAGGATTTCATTTTACTTGGATCCACAATCACTGCCCATGCAAGCAGCAGTCAAGAAGTCAAATAATGTATTACACCGAGCAAGTCTGTTGCAAAGCACCACTTTAAAGCACAGAGCCAAGATGCCACCGTAAATAGCAAGGCTGTCACTTTGATGAATAAGGTGTACCTGGCCCAAACCAAGGTATTTTAATTGTCTCGTATGCAGGCAAAACTAAACCATGAATAATAACCTAAGAAGCTCTATGGTGCACCTGACCCAAGGCATGATATTTTCAATTGCTTCATATGCATGTGAAAGTTGGACATTGAATGAGGATGACGAAGATGAATCCATGCATTTGAACTGTGATGCTGAAGAAGAATATTGAAAGTACCATGGACTGCTAAAAGGACAAACTGATTGGTCTTAGAAGAAATATGGCCAGAGTGCTCCTTAGAGACAAGGACAGCGAGACTTCATGTTACCTGCTTTGGACATATTGTCAGGACAGACTGGTCCTTGGAGAAGGACATCATATTAGGTAGGGTAGAGAGGCAGTGAAGGAGGAGAGCCCTCAGTGAAATGGACTGGCATTGTGGCTGCAACAAGGGGCTCAAGAACAGAACCAGTTGTGAGTCTGGTGAAGGGCCACGCAGTGTTTCATTCTGTTGTGCACGGGATCACAATGGGTTGGAGCCAACTCGATGGCATCTAACAACAACAAAGAAGAATTGATGCCTTTGAATTTGATGCTGGTGACCAATGCCACTAATTATTAGTGATTGGAATGGGAGAGTTGGAAACAAAGAGAAAGGAACAGTGGCTGGAATATAAGGCCTTGGTGGTAGAAATGAAGCTGGAGATCGCGGATAGAATTTTGCGAGATAGAATTTTGAGTATACATATGCACTTCTCTAGATCGAATACCCAGAAATCGAATTGAATACACCCGTGGAAAGAGATGAGGGAGAAGCTCAATATGATGAGCACAAACAAGGCCGGGGCTGAGTAAGGAACCGACCACAAATTGTTCATATATAAGTTCAGGCAAACCTGAAGAAAAAATTTTAAAATCCATGATCTTCAGTACACCCCATTTGAAAGTCAAGAACAGATTTGATGCATTGAACACTAATGGCAGAAGACCCGAGGAGCTGGGGGATGACATCAAGAACATCACACACAAGCAAAAGTCATTAAAAAGACAAGAAAGAATGGTTAATGCAGCTATAGTTCAGTTAAAGCTTAGCACCTTAACATTTATTTTCCTGCTTGACCTATTTTAAATGTGTTCTGGTTTTCATTATTTTCTGCTTTTTTGGATTGAACTTTTTCTGTTGTTATTAGGTGGTTTTTTTGGGGGGTGGTATTAGTTTCTTCACATGGAATCCAGGGTAGATAGATATATAGGGACAGTACCTAGATTAATAGTTCCTTAGGGTTATGGCAATATAGGTTGGGGAGAAATGGGGAGCTAATAATAAGGAGTACAAGAATGAAAAAAATGTAAAATTAAGATTCTTGCATAACTCATTTTACTATAGTTAAACCTTTGAATTGTATGTTATGTGAAACTGCTAAAAATGTAAAAGACAGGAAAGAAAGAAAAGATCAAAGTAGATATCAGAAGAGACTCTGAAAGTTAATCTTCGGAACTATATGTGACCTCCTCCCTGGGGGACAGACAACCGAAAAGTGGGTGAAGGGAGACGTCGGACAGGGCAAGATATGACAAAATACCCATTTATAAACTATCAAGGGCTCATGCGGGAGAGGGGAGTGGGGAGGGAGGGGAAAAATGAGGACCTAATGTCGGGGGTTTAAGTGGAGAGAAAATGTTTTGAGAATGATGTATAAATGCGCTTTACACAATTGATGTGTGTATGGATTGTGATAACAGTTGTATGAGCCCCTAAAAAATGTTAAAAAAAAAAGAAAGTTAATCTTCAACTTAGAGTAGTTAAGTCAGAAGGAAGAAATAATGAAGTAAAAGAGCTGAGTAGAAAATTTCAAAAGGCAACTGGAGAAGACAAAGCAAAATGTCACAGTGAAAGGAGAAAACACCTGGAGTTAGGGACCAAAAGGGCAAACACACTCAGCAGAAGAGGGGCTACCCCCCAAACAAGTTTTTGTCAAAGTTACCAATTCAAATTTTTTTACAAAACAGCCCTATCACCTTCAAAGTACTCTCTGCTGCACTTAGTACATTTGTCAAATCTGTGATTCCATTCTTGGAAACGTTTTTCAAACTCATCTGTCTGGATGGCTGCCAGCAGATTTGTTTTTCTTCACCTCTTCTATATTGTCAAATCGCTGTCCTGTCCTGTCCCTCATTCACAGACACAAAAAGAAGTCATACAGAATGAGGTCGGTGAGGCAGGTGCATGGGGCAAGAGAGGCATGCTATATTTTTGCCAACTGGCACGCTGAGATGGCTGTGAGCAGGTGCACTGTTGTGGGGGCAGAACCAGTCCCCTGTCTGCCTCAAATCAGGCCTTTTTTGTCACACACTGTTACATCATCTTTTCAGAACCTCCAAATAGAAAGCTTGATTAGCAGTCTGACCTGGTAAAATGAACTCCAAATGCACTATGAGTCGACATTTTTCCGTTTGGGAAGTTGATAGATGCCTAGAATGAGGTTTATCATCATTCGACTTTTCACCTCTTTTGAAATGAGAAAACCACTCATACACTTGAGTTTTTCTCCTTATAAACTGTGTTCAACATCACAACAGTTTCTGTGGTATTTTTCCCCAAACAGGAAACAAAATTTCACGGCTGCACCCTGTTCTCTTAAATTGGCCATCACAAAAACGAGGTTTAAGCAAAACTGCTTTTACGAAAAAATTAACTGTGACCATAGAGAACCTTCCCAGGTGCTGCCACTGGGTGCACTGACTCAGAGTGAGTTGCTGGGTGCTCGCCTAGCAGAACAAATGCATACTATGAAAGCTCTGCCCAGCAGAGCTATTTTAGGGAGGGGGGGTACTTCCTCATATATTAAGCTGAAAGACTTGAAGAAAAATTCAAGATTCAAGTGGCAATATTGAAAGTTTCTGTATACAAAATAGTGAATGACCTGGGAAGCATCAAAAGAAAATGGAAGGAATGCTCAAGTCACTGTACCAAGCAAAAGCAATATTCCACTATTTCAAGAAGTAGCATATGTTAAGAATTGATGGTCCTGACGGAAGAATTCCAAGCTATAGTGCAATAGCAAAAAGGTTCCAGGAATTGACAAAATATCAATGGATATGTTGCAACAGGTTGATGAAGTGTACTGGAAGCCCTCACTCGTCTGTGCTAAGAACTTTGAAGACAGCTACCTAGTCATCTGAATAGGTGAGTTGAGATCCATATTTGTATTCATTCTAAAGAAAGGTGACCTAAGAGAAGGTAGAAATTATCCATTGACATGCAAGTTAAATTTTGCTGAAGATCCTTCAACTATCGTTGCAGCAGCACATTGACAAGGAGCTACCAGAAATTCAGGCTACATTCAGAGAACGTAGAACAAGTTATCATTGCTGATGTCAGATGGATCTTAGTTGAAATCAGAGAATGCTGTAAATATATCTAGATATTTTATTGACTGTTGAAAGGCTTTATTACCAGCTACAGATAGCCTTGCGAAGAATGGGAATTCCAGAGCACTTCATTCTGCTCATGTGGAACCTCTACGTAGAGCAAGTGGCAGCAGTTTGAACAACAGAGAATACTGCTTGGTTTAAAATTTTTTAAAAGTGTGCATCAGGGTTGTATCCTCTCACCATACTTATTCAATCTGTATGCTGAGCAAATCATCAGGAAAGCTGGGTTCTATGTAGAAGAGTGTGGCATCAGGATTGGTGGAAGGCTTATTAACCACCTTCTATGCTCAGATGACACAACCTTGCTTGCTGAAGATGAGGAGGACTTGAAGCACTTGCTGTTGAAGATCAAGGATTGCAGTTTTAAATGTGGATTACAATCTAATATAAAGAAAACAAAATTCCTCACTACGGTCCACAGACAACGAAGTAAAGACTGTAAAGTTATCAAAGACTTCATCTTGCTGGAATTCACAAGCAATGTTCATGGAAGCAGCAATCAAAAGCTCAAACAAGACATTGCATTGGGTAAAAATGCTGCACAAGACCTCTTTAAAGTTTTGAAGAACAAGGATATTGCTTTGAGAACTAAGGTGTGCCTGACCCAAGCCATGGTATTTTTAATTACCTCATATGCATATGAAAGTCGAACAAGGAATTAGGAATACTGGAGAAGAGTTGATGCATTCAAATTAGGGTGTTAGTGAGAATAGTGAAAATACCATGAATCCCAAAAAGAACAGAAAAATAACCGCTTTGGAAGAAGTATAGCCAGACTGCTCTTTAGAAGTGAGGACGGCAAGTCTTTGTTATCTGGAGAGACCAGTCCCTGGACAAGGACATCGTGCACAAGTGGATGAGCAGTGAAAAGGAGGAAGGCTGGTGATGAGCTGAATTGACACAGTAGCTGCAAAATGGGGTCAAACACATGTATGAGTATGGCGCAGGCTCCAGCAGCAGTTTTACTGATGTCTGGTCTGGTCACTATGAGTTGGAACCAAGTAGGTGCAACTTCCATCATCAACACACAGACAACAGATATTTGAATAAATATGATTAATTTTTCACTTATAAACTTTATATTTGACCATTATAAAGAAAGAATATAGGTAATTATAAGTTCATATATTCATATGCATCTTGACTGCTGCTTCCATGATTGGAGTACTACTGTTTATCTTGAATTCCAACAGGGCTGGGGTTAGGATAAGTAGTCAGGCATTCAACATGGGCCCCAAATTTAAGGGAGTCTCAAACTTCAGTAATCAAGACAACTAATATTTAATGCAGTATTTTTAAAATGAAAATGAATGCAAAAATCTATGAGAAGCAAAATATTTAAAAAATATTAAACCAAGACCGGTGCTATGTTGAGCTATATAAAAACTTGAATCAAAATGAATTATATGAATTTGTTTTCCTGTATTTTATGGTTAATGCTTTAGAGAACATTATAGTTGAAAAGTCATTGGAAAATTGAAAAGTAGATATGTTGAAAGTCACAACACTATTTGATATTTAAATATTTCATTTATACCCCAAACTGAATTCATTATAATTTTATGTTCCTGGATTCAAGAGAAGTCAAATTCATGAGATTTTCTCATTTTCAGTTAAAGAGTTATCCTGTTGGAAGTATGTAAGAACATCAATTAATCAAGAGAAATTGACTGACTGAGCTTGCACCATCTGTAATCCCATGTTTGACATCCTTTAATGAAACTTAGGAGGAAGATGAGACTTCCTTCTCTCATAAACAGCTACAGTCTTAGAAACCCATAAGGGCATTTCTGCCCTGTCTGATAGGGTGATTATGAGTCAGAATCAACTCAGTGGCAGTGAGAGGTTTTTTGGTTGTTGGTGTTATTGTTGTTGTTTATTAAATTTAGGGTACTTATTAGCATAGATTTTTTACTTTGTTCATTTAAGTTAACTATAGATGTATGTCTAAGCAAGTCAGAATTGACTAGACAACAGTGAGTTTGGTTTGGTTTTCTTTTCAATATATATAACAGATTCTAATAAAAGATCAATGCCTGAATTGAAGCTTTGCTCTAACTTTTAAATGTTCATTTTGCACCTTGGCCCTTTGTTTTCAACAGTTGGAACAAGAGCTGGCTGAACTTAAGAGATGTGGCAAAGGACACAGTGAGAGATCTAGTAACAGTAAAGTATCTGAACTTGAACAATCGAAGACCTGTGAAGCATTCACAGAAGAACCAAACTTTCAACAGAAGATACTGCTAAAACTAAAAGCCTTGAATGAAAGGGTAGCATTCTGGACCAAAAAAATGGATGAGTATGTTTAATGAATGGGTTAGTTCCGATTTGAAACAAGAGGCCCATCAGTTGAGCTCAGGTCCCTGTTTTCAGGAGTAGATGGTAATTATGAGATCAACAGTGAACTAAAGCATGAAATGTCCTTCCAATTCAGTTTCCTATTACATATAGGCACCATTGCTTCAAAGCTGGCAGAGACAGGTCTAATTTGGACAAGGAGTTTCCCTCTGAGAGTCTTCTTGTCACAGCACCCCTCTAATGCTTACAAACGGACGACATCAGAGCTGCCACTGGTGCAGAACCCGAGACCAGGCATAATATATTATACACACTTGTATGGAATTGTACAGAAAAATGCCCAGGTTGAATGTAGGAATATAAAATAAAGATGCTTAATAATACTGAAAAAGTGTATTAGGGTACTAAGGGACTAAGTTGGTTGGCCCTATAATAGTATGATCAACAATAATATAACAAAACAGACAAACAAAACCAGTGCCATTGAACATATGTACTAATGTGCTTGATAAAATTGATGTATGGATTGTTATAAGAGCTGTAAGATACCCCAATAAAATGACACATTAAAATTCAAAAACAAAACAAACAGTGCCATTGGATGCATTGTGGTTCATAGTGACCCTTCATAGGGATTCCATGACTGCAAATCTTTATGGGAACAAATGGTTTCATCTTTCTCCTGTTGAGTGGTTGGTAGACTTGAACCACCCACCTCATGGTTTTCCATCTAACACAAGGATAATAGCTAACACTTCTTGGGTTACTACTCTGTGCCCAGATTGGTTGCTAAGAGCTTTACATGCATTTTGCACTCAGAATCCTACAAACAGTTTTTTAAGGAGGCATTAAAAAAAAGCAAACCTACTACCTTCAAGTCCTTTGCAACTCATATCCAGTGCCATTGTGTCATTTCTGACCTGACAGCAACTTTATGTAAAGGGTTTGCAAGGCAGTAAATCTTTACTGGAATAGACAGCTTCCTCTTTCTCCTGTGGAGCAGTTGGGGGTCAGGGGGTGGGGGTGGGTGATGGTGGTTAATTGCCAGCCTTGCAGTTAGCAGTCCAACACTATCCAACAGCGACAACAAGCCATCACTGGTGTTTTATTGAGTAAACTGAAGAACAAAGGCTCTAAGATCTTAGAGACTGAAGTGGTAGAGCCAGGATGATCTTCTAACCCTCACTTCTTCTGAGATGTGCAAAATTTGAGGTTATTTGAATTGACCCTCCAAAAGAATGTCTTTTACTTAATTATTAACACCAAACTTTCTTTATCCATTGAAAAAGTCTTGTGTTTCAATACCAATTTAAAAAAATTCTATTGTGAATTTTCATGTCATGATCTTGAGACCATACTAATGACTATATTTTTCCTTCAAAAGAATTGAAGAAATGTATCATATTGAAGTAAAGAAAAAGAAGAAAAGTTATGGTTTATTGATCCCCTGTTTGTTAATTGAGTTGGAGACTGTGGGAAATATTCATTTTGAAGAAGGCAATCAATCTGATGACTGGTAAATGTGTTTGAAATTTAATTATAGCTTACAAAAAATATTAAGTCCTTAAAAATCAACACCTAAGAGATCAGCTTATAAAAATATTTAAGTTTTGCAACACTTCTTATGTAGAATATTTATTCATTGAACATTGATAGTTACCTATTTTACTACCTAAACATATCTCTTTTAACACCATTTCTCTAAACTAACATTGAAACCATTCTAATGGTATTGCATTGCTCTTTACTCAATTTTCCATAGCTGGGGACAGGATATAATTTAGGGGTATGGTGGGGGGCGGGCAGTTTAGGGTCAACTATTTATTTTTATGTGTGTTTAGGTCCAGACTCCAGAATCAAGGCCCACTACTAGAAACGAGGAGGTGGTCATGTGGCCTCACTGAGAGGCCCAACCAAATAACTGATCCCAAAATACTGCTGTAACATTCCCATTTCTCACCTCATTTTCTCACAGTTAAGAAGCCCTAAAATAACCGTAGATTGCTGTAGAGCCACTCTGTGAACCTGGGTGTGTGCAGATGTGCCAAGAGGCATGCGGGGTGGTGGATTGCCCTGGGCATGTCACCTTGGGGCATAATTATACTCAGCCACGGCTATAACAAACACTCATGGAGTAGAATGAAATATTGGCATTAACTTTCTGAAAAATAATGTATATGTGTGGTTGTTGTGGTTTGCTTTAACCCAAGCAACTGCTTTCAAATAGATGTGCCTTTTCATTCACTTCTGTGAGTAAAAGCTTCGCAAGGGCCCTGCAGACTAGTTTGGTGGCAAAGGGTAAGATGCATTGCCCAACAGAGAATGAGACCTTTGAAAATGAATAATTTCTTTTATATCAATACATTTATTTTCCCAGCAGTTACTTAACCACAATACTTGGACAAAGATATAAAAAGTATTTAACCTATTCCTTTGCAAATAAGTAAAGCCCTTGATTTTTGTCAAGTGCAAACATTGAAAAGTGTCTCTGTGCAGGGTTCACAAATAATTTTCAGGCTTTCACTTATATTCACTCAAATGAAACAGAATTGCTTGTACTGTTTAAGTTAACTTGTTGCGGAGGAAGCCCTTACTAAACAAGCAGATTGTGAGGTGAAAGGGCGTGAAGGGGGTGGGGTACCATTTAGATAACCATGTCAGCCTGATAGCAAATGTTGAGCTCATTTTGACTTGGATAATCATTACTAATTGTTTATTTGGTTTTATTAAGACTAACCTTGATCCACTGTCAGGAGAAAAATCAAATATATGATGGCAAGATTTCAATGACTTTATTATTATTATCTGTATACTTTAGACGTTTGGTCACCTTAGCTATGATCTCTTATGTGTGCTAAGAAATAACTGCTAAAATACAAAAGTACTTTAAATTGCTATGTGCTATATTCCTCAGTGTGCTATTCCAACACTAACTCTTCTTTTAATTAATTTTTTTCAAGCTATGGGTCTAGCATTGAAACGAGTTCTTTGGTTGAGTCAAGATTTAAATATGAAAGTTTTCTCTCAAAGCAACCTTTCTTTATTTCTTTAGCTGAAAGAGCACTATGGATTTCCAACTAATGTCATTCAATATTTCTTAACTTTCATTGTGAAAGAAAACATTTATTCCATTTCCTACTTTACCAGAGCTATATTTTATAGAGACTTCCAAGTTAAGTGGATTGTCGACACTCCAGTGTATCATCATTGTTGAAGACTTGCCTTGCCTATTGAAATACCCAGAGACATCAGACCGCATGCATCAAGTGGGTACTCCAGAACATCAAAGACATGGCTCTTGAGCTAGAGAAGCATTTGACCTGGTTATAGATAGAGGGCATTTACAATTCAAACCAACAATAACAACAAAAACCTTTAAAACACCATGAATTAATTATAAGTGACTCTAAGCTTCTATGCTTCATAAGTCCTAACACTGAGCACAGGCCTGGATTGGTTATTAATGGATCATTATTAATTGAAGGTTCTGTATCACTTTAATAGAACAAGGGGGGGTTCCAAAGTGTTTGAAGAATGGAATTGAACGCAAATGGCATTTCTTCACAAACATTTGAAACCCCTCAGATCCGTAATGACTATAATGCAGACAGAGCCTATGATGATATTCACCAATTAATTGAACTATATGCCTGTGTATTAAAAAAGCCATGCTATATTGTTTCAAGGAACTATATCAGCAGAAAGTTTTGGTTTTATACAAGATAAGATCTTTATTTAAGTCAGTGAGTCCAGTAACAGTATTTATTAGACCCTTCTTTAGGATTATGAAGTTTTAAAAGGTTTTAACAGGTTTGATTTAGTTCCAGCCTTTTAAAAATATGTGCATTCCACATTTGCTAGATAAATGCATCATTTTTATATTAAAGAATGTTTGTAGTCATCAATTCATGTAGCTGAATAGTTCAGTCAGTGATCTAAGGCACAATTGTGGACATGTCCACCTTCCAGTCTTAGTGACCACTACAGTATCAGACACTGTTAACCATAACTTCCGTGTAATTTCACCTCTTGTTTTTTTGTACAATTGATCTTTGAACAACATGTATAATTTTTGACTCCCCAAAAATATAACTGCTATTGACCCAAAGCCTTATACAATAACATAAACCAATGGCATTTCCAAAAAAAGGTGACCCAACAGAATGCTCAAATTATAGAACAATACCCTTAATATCACATGCAAGTAAAATATTGCTGAAGTTCATCAACTGTTATTGAATGATCTTCAGCATATCTTAAACTGAAAGAATTTTCTAAAATCCGAGCCCTAAGTTGCAACACTGAAAGATTCTATGGGCAAAATATTGAATAATGCAGGAAGAAGGAAAAGAATATAGAAAACATACACAGAGACACTGTACCAGAAAGAACTAGTGAACATTGAGCATGTCAATAGGTAGCATGAGCAAGAACCAATTTTACTGAAGGAAGAAGTTCCAGCTGCACTGAAAATATTAGCCACAAACAAGGCTCCAGGAATGGATGGAATACCAATTGAAATGTTTTAACAAGCTGATGAAGCACTGGAAGCACTCACTCGTCTATGCCAGGAAAATTGAAAGACAGGTATTTGGCCAACTGACCGGAAGAGATCCCTATTTGTACCCATTGCAAAGAACAATGACCCAACAGAATGCTCCAATGATCGAACATTATTGTTGATATCACATGCAAGTAAAATTTTGCTGAATATCAGCAGCAATGGTTGTACCAGTACATTGACAGGGAGCTGCCAGGGGTCCAGGCTGGATTTAGAAGAGGATATGGAACAAGGGATATCATTGCTGATAGCAGATGGATCTTGACTGAAAGCAGAGAATACCAGAAAGATGCTTACTTGTGTTTTGTTGACTATGGCAAGGCATTTGACTATGTGGATCATAAACTATGTCTAGCCTTGAGAAGAATGATAATTACAGAACACTTCATTATGCTTATGTGGAACTTGTACATGGTTAAAGAGGCAGTTGTGGGAACAGCACAAGGGAATGCAGCATGGTTTAAAATCAGAAAAATTGTGTGTCAGGGCTGTATCCTCTCACCATATTTATTCAAACTATATGCTGAGAAAATAATCAGAATCTGGATTATGTGAAGAAGAATGTGCATCAATGCCCACTCAGAAGGACCGTATACGACAGCACAGAAGTGCTCCTGTGAGTTTCTCAGACTGTAACTCTTTGTGGGAGTAAAAAGCCCCACTTTTCTCCCTCAGAATTCCTGGTAGTTTCAAACTACTGACCTTATGATTAGAAGCCCAGCATATAACCACTAAACCATCAGGCTTCCTTCAGGATTGGAGGAAGGCCTATTAACAATCTACAATAGACACAACCTTACTTACTGAAAATGAAGAGGACTTGAAGCAATTGCTGATGAAGAACAAGGATTGCAGCCTTTAGTATGTATTACAACTTGTAAAGAAAACCAAAATCCTCACAACAGGACCAATAGGTAACATCATGATAAATGGAGCAAAGATTGAAGTTGTCCAGGATTTTGCCTTGCTTGGATCCATAATCAATACTCATGGAAGCAGCAGTCAAGAGATCAAACAACACGGTGCCTCGGGAAAATCTGCTGCACGGGCCTCTTTAAAGTGTTGAAAAGCAAGGAGTTTACTTTGAGGACTAAGGTATGCCTGACACAAGCCATGGTGTTTTCAATCGCTTCTTATGGATGCGAAATTTGTACATTGAATAAGGAAAACTGAAGAGAAGTCGATGCATTTGAATTAGGGTGTTGGCAAAAAGAACCAACAAATCTGTTTTGGAAGAAGTACAGAATGTTCCCTAGAGGCAAGAAGAGTGGGACTTTGTCTCATGTACTTTGGGCATGTTGTCAGAAGAGACTAGTTCCTAGAAAGGACATCATGCTTGGTAGAGGGCTTTCAAAAAAGAGAAAGACCCTGGATAAGATGGATTGATACCGTGGCGACGACAATGGGCTCAACCATAAGAACAATTATGAGGGTGGCGCAGGGCTGGCGGTGTCTTATTCTGTTGTATGCAAGGTCGCTATGATTCGGAACTGACTCAATGACACCTGACAGCAGCAGCATGTATGATATACTGTACTCACATGGGCTGCGTTTTCAATAAGAGATCAAATGGTATTACACAAAAAGAGCAAGATTTTCTTGCTGGTATATCCTGGTAGCACAGGCAGTTAAGCAATGTGCTGCTTGCGAAAAAGTCAGCCATTCAAATCCAATAGCCACTACATAGGAGACAGATGAGGCAGTCTTGCTTCTTTAAACATTTACAGACTCAGAAACCCTTAGGAATAGTTCAACTCAGCCCTTAGGGTCGCTATGTGTGTTAGGCCGGGTTGACTAGAGAAACAAATCCAGAGACACTCATATCTGTATAAGGAAGCGCTTTATATGGAAGAGTAATTGTATATTAAGAAAATGTACCAGTCCAGTTCAGAGCCAGTCCATAAGTCTGATCTTAGCCCATAAATAAAATACTAATCCAAAAATCCTTCTTCAGC